GCCCCTTGGAGCCCCAACTAAACAGAGCAGCTGCTAATGAAACAACAGGCAGGTGCTCCAACAGGTAAGGATGGCTATCAGTAGGTAAAGGCAAAGGGACCCCTGACCAATTAGGTCCAGTCGTGGTGGACTCTGGGGTTGTGGTGCTCATCTCGCTTTATTGGCCGAGGGAGCCGGCGTACAGCTTCCGGGTCATGTGGCCAGCATGGCTAAGCCGCTTCTGGCGAACCAGAGCAGCGCACGGAAACACCGTTTACCTTCCCGCTGGAGCGGTACCTATTTATCTACTTGCACTTTGACGTGCTTTCGAACTGCTAGGTTGGCGGGAGCAGGGACCGAGCAATGGGAGCTCACCCCGTCGTGGGGATTCAAACCGCCGACCTTCTGATTGGCAAGCCCTAGGCTCTGTGGTTTAACCCATAGCGCCACCCGCATCCCTTCTATCAGTAGGAGCAATGCTAATAAAACGCAAACCATTAAGTACCTGCAAAGTGCTTTGCCCCTTGCGAACGAAGTTTTTAACTGTTGCCTTTCTTGTTGTTTTCTCTTCCCTGCTTCCCAGCATCTTGCCCGGTCTTATGCAGCGGCAACGGGCAGTACATGAAAGGGCGCTGTTTGTGCCACAGTGGGTGGAAAGGAGCCGAATGCGACGTCCCGACCAACCAGTGCATCGACGTCGCCTGCAACAGCCACGGGACCTGTATCATGGGCACTTGTATCTGCAACCCGGGATACAAAGGAGAGAGCTGCGAGGAAGGTATTTGCAGGCATGGGCCAGTGGATCTTATTTCCCCCCTTTGGTTTTCAGAACAAGAGAGAGGGGAGTCGTTCACAGGCGGACCAAGTCCTAGAGGCCGAGGCCGTTTCGGCCCCCTGCAATGTGTTTTTTGAGGAGGCCAAGACTTCGCACAAACCTTGAAGTGCCAACACCACCTTTACATTAGCTGTTAGACAGGAGGCCGAAGAGCCTCAACACAGCCCCACTGCACCTCTGGCTCATGAGGAGACTCTCTCTAAAGGATGTCCCCTTCAGGCTCCGTGGAGGGTCTTGTCGTGAGCCAGAGATGCAGCAGGGCTTTGCTGAGAGGTGCTGGAACACCTGCAAACATGCATCATTTTATTTGTATAATAATAATAATAATAATAATAATAATAATTTATTATTTATACCCCGCCCATCTGGCTGGGCTTCCCCGGCCACTCTGGGCGGCTTCCAAAAGAATATTAAAATACTATAATACATCAAACATTAAAAGCTTCCTGAAACAGGGCTGCCTTCAGATGTCTTCTAAAAGCCTGGTAGTTGTTGTTCTCATTGACATCTGAAGGGAGGGCGTTCCACAGGGAGGGCACCACCACCGAGAAGGCCCTCTGCCTGGTTCCCTGTAACTTGGCTTCTCGCAGTGAGGGAACCGCCAGAAGGCCCTCGGTGCTGGACCTCAGTGTCCGGGTAGAACGATGGGGGTGGAGACGCTCCTTCAGATATACTGGACCAATGACCCCTGGTGTTAAAAAAAAACCCCCAGCAATTTTTGCTTTTGTTTTGTAAGGAAGGGAGGGGTTGCACATATGTACACACCCCAGTGTCCTCACACCAAGACACTTAAACAGTTGCACTCTTGTGCTTTGGTGCAGCTTTTGGGCTTCCAGTAGATATCTGGATGGCCACTGTGAGGACACAATAGGCCTTTGGTCTAATTCCTCTTCCATTTTTATGCAGCCCAGAGAAATAAGCCAATCGGACCCCTCAAAGGAGGGCGTTCCATAGCTTTCATTTCGAATCAGTGAATTAAATAGGAAGTGCTTGACAATTACATATTAGAATTACAATTTCTCTTCAGTTCTTAATTCTGTGCCCGCTTACCTCAGAGTAAGTCCCATTGAACTGAGTGAGACTCACATCTGAGGAGATACGACTCACATCAGTTCCGTAGTATTATTAGTATTATTGTTGACTGAATTTATATACCACCCTATACCCAGAGGTCTCAGGGCGGTTCACAGAATAAAAACAAAATATAAAACCACAAAATACATAATCAAAATAAAAACAACCCAATAACACCCCCCCCAAAAAAAACCCCACCACATTTCAAAATGGAACCCTCTCCATGATGAATTTTCATTGCCATGACTTATTAGGCAGAACTTTACTGATTATTCCAATGGTTGCTGCTTTTAGATAATTATGATTCTGATTTTGTTCATGTCAGTTGCAGTTTTATTACAGCTCTATTCAGACAACTTCTTTTGCCGTTGCTTTGAAAGCCTCTTAAGGCTTCAAAGTTGGACAGAGATTCTTAAATAAATAAATAAAAGCCCAATATTATTTAATCGGATGGCAGCCCCGAATTAGAGGGGCAGGCACCAAATGAAACACATTTTCCTAGGAGCCTTTGAGTGGTTGGGAGCTTTCCCCTTTCCGACTCAGCATTTGTTTCCCATATGCAAGACAATATTTCGTAGTTCTGCCAAGAGGAAAGGAACATTAAAAAGAATCTATGAAATATGTTACTTAGGAAATCTGTGGGATTCTCCCCCACCCCAAACTGTAAATCCCTCTAATAAAAGTTGATTTCAAATATTTCACAAATATTATTTCTTTTCTTTAAAGGAGGGCCATCTGGTCTTGATCTCTTTTGGTTTGAAGCCTCAGTGCTTCTTCCTCCAATGTTTAAAATAGGCCTTTTCTGATTAATGTTCTCTTAACTTTTCTCTCTTACACACAAACACACATTGTATTAAGCCTGTACAATACAGTAGAACCTCAGTTTTCGAGCGTCTCGGAAGCCGAACATTTCAGAAGCTGAACTCCGGAAACCCGGAAGTAATTGCTTCCGTTTTCCAACGCGCCTCGGAAGTCAAACGGCTTCCACTGTGTGTTTTTCCATTTTCACCATTGAAATTGCTGGCAGCCCTTTGTGCATTGGTTGTCAAACGTTTCAGAAGTCGAACAGTCTTCTGGAATGGATTACGTTCAACAGCCGAGGTTCCACTGTATTATCAAAGCGACATTTTATTTTACTTATTTATTTATTAGTTTTCTTTGCCGCCCTTCATCCAAGGATCACAGGGCGGTTTACAATATGAAAACACAAAAATACATACCATAATAACAAACAAAAACAATAGATCTGCACGCACGCACACAGTTTAAAAGGCCAAAGAGTGTTTAATTGGCCAAAGGCCTAGATACAGAGGAATGTTTTTGCTTGGTGCCTCACAAGCCTCCCTGGGAAAAGCACCCCACAAATGGGGAGCCACCACAGAAAAGGCCCTGTTCTTGTCTTGCCATCTTCCAAACATTGCATGGAGAAGGCGCATGGAGAAGGGCGTCCAGTCATGATCACAGGGTCTGGGTTGGTTCATATCAGGGGAAGTGGTCCTTGAGTTATTGCGGTCCAGCCAGATCTTTCCTGCCTGTGTTTTGCTGAAATGAACAGTGCTAGTCTGCCTATTCTCCTATACCTCTCCCATTTATCACAGCGGTGCGTGGTCATGTATGATCCTGGTTGCAGCTTTGCAAAACCTGGAGCACGTGCTCTTATTACCAAGCTGTGTTTCCTCCCCGGTTGTATCCAGCAGGTTCAATTCCCAATGCATTGTTATTGATTAATGTATTGATGGACTCCTAAAGACGTCGCAAGGCGGGGTGCAGCCATACCACTGAAATAGTTCTGGAAACAGTACGAGAAAGCAAGATAGCAACACGAAGTGAGCTCCCAAGGCAACGACGCCTTTTCACCCAACTGGGGAAAAAACTTGTCGAAGCAAGTGTGTTTGCAAATGTTTCAGAAAAGCATAGGTAGCAGGCGCCTGCCTCAATGGGGACAGCGTTCCACAAAACTGGGGCAGCCACACTGAAAGCCCTGCTTTCAGTGAAGGTGGGCTTCTGGTATTTTGGGGACTTAAACTGTGTAGCTATTTCAGTTGAGCTGGTGCAATTGGGAGCACAGGAATGTTGGAAGCTGGCTTATCCCAAGTCAGACCTCTGGTCCATATAACTCAGTATTGTCTTCACTGACTGGCAGTGACTCTCCCAAGCTATCATAGAATTGCAGAGTTGGGAGGGACGCCAAGGGTCATCTAGTCCAACCCCCCGCAATGCAGGAATCTCATACATGACCGACACATGGCCATCCAACCTCTGCTCAAAGACCTCCAAGGAAGGAGCATCCACAACTTCTCAAGGGAGACCCTCTGACTGTCAGAAAGTTTTTCCGTATGTTTAGACAGGACATTCCCAGCAATACCTGGAGATACCTGAAACCTTCTCCATCCAAGGGAGATGCTCTGCCATTGTTCTATTGTCCTTCTACCTTTGAAGGTGGGGCTGCCTTTGAAGGTGACCCGGAAACTACAACTTATCCAGAATGCGGCAGCTAGACTGGTGACTGGGAGTGGCCACCAAGACCATATAACACCGGTCCTGAAAGACCTACATTGGCTTCCAGTACGTTTCTGAGCACAATTCAAAGTGATGGTGCTGACCTTTAAAGCCCTAAATGGCCTTGGCCCAGTATACCTGAAGGAGCATCTCCACCCCCATCGTTCAGCCTGGACACTGAGGTCCAGCCCCAAGGACCTTCTGGCGGTTCCCTCACTGTGAGAAGCGAGGTTACAGGGAACCAGGCAGAGGGCCTTCTCGGTAGTGGCACCCTCCCTGTGGAATGCCCTCCCACCAGATGTCAAGGAGATAACAACTATCTGACTTTTAGAAGGCAACTGAAGGCAGCCCTGTTTAGGGAAGTTTTTAATGTTTGATGTTTTACCGCTTTATTATTATTATTATTATTATTATTATTATTATTTCTCATGCAGTGCTTATCCTGAACTCCAAATAATTATAATTTATTACTTATACCCCGTCCATCTGGCTGGATTTTCCCAGCCACTCTGGGCGGCTTCCAACAAGAGATTAAAAATACATTAAAACATCAGTCATTAAAAACTTCCTTAGAGAGGGAACCCCTCGATCTCCCTCATCCTTGAGCACTTCTGCTCCACTTGCTCAGTCAGTAGAGCATGAGACCTTTAAATCTCGGGGTTGTGAGTTCGGGCCCCACATTGGGCAAAAGATCCCTGCATTGCAGGGGGTTGGTATAGATGACCCCGGTGGTCCCTTCCAACGCTACAATTCTACGATTCCACGCTCATGAAAGAATGCTGTTTTAGCTTCAGCAACCTAATGCCACACTTGGCTAAGGAAGTTCTCCGGCGCCCGCCCTGCAGAAATGAATGGGAGCCATGGAGAGCCAGTGTGGTGTAGTGGTTAAGATCGATAGACCCGTAATCTGGTGAACCGGGTTCGCTTCCCCGCTCCTCCACATGCAGCTGCTGGGTGACCTTGGGCCAGTCACACTTCTTGAAGTCTCTCAGCCCCACTCACCTCACAGAGTGTTTGTTGTGGGGGAGGAAGGGAAAGGAGAATCTTAGCCGCTTTGAGTCTCCTTCGGGTAGTGATAAAGCGGGATATCAAATCCAAACTCTTCTTCTTCTTCTCTCGTTTTGGTGGGACTGACCCGGGAGACGGTCCCCCCCCCCCCGTGGATCGGTGCCCCAAATCACAGCTTCTGCTGTTTGCACCTGGAACAGATCTCTAGAAAGAGGCTTGCACCATGCTATTCTTCTTCTTCAAGAAGAAGAAGAAAGTGGGAAACGAAAAGGGAGCAAACGCACACACATTGAAGCTTTTGTTCACAAAGGAGGCAGCGAAGCTCTCCAATCCAAGACCCCTTGCCACGGTGCCAGGACTCTTAAGCGATGCGGCCAGCAAGGGCAAGATTAAAGTAGCCATTGTACCAGGCGCCTTCTGAAAGGGCTCATTTCAACATGAAAAATGGCCCTGGGATTATGATGAATGAGGTGTCCTGACATGCATGCAACCTCCCCCCCGCCCCCCGTTAATCCTGTGTTAACGCTGAGGTAGCAGAGCGCTCTTGCGGCCTGTGATGGAGACCCCTGTACCGCTCACCTCCTTCCCCCCATTGGCCTTCGGAGAGGATGATTAATTGCCTATCCGTTGCCCCTTGTCAGTTAGCCGGCAATCTTTGTTCTCCACAGTTGAACCATCTGCCGGGGCCGTAAGGTGCTGCCAGCTCTCTCTCCCTGTTCTCCCTTTCATGGCTGTTACTTCTGAGGAAGAAGACAGTCCGGGGGCTGAGAGAGGTCCCTGCGTTCTAAGATTGGTGCCTTCGCTCTGGGAAGCTTTTAACAGCCCCAGAGATTTATAGGCCGGGTCTGCTCCTCCTGCCTCTCTGGCGATGCATAAAGAGTGTGAGTCTTCATCCCACAGAAATATATCCTTGCGCAGCTCAGGGAAAGGGCTGAGCATAGGTAAAATGCAGGTGACTTTGTAAATTAAGTCATATATATATATATATATATATATATATACACACACACACACACACACACACACACACACACACACACATATACACACACACATACACAGAGTGGACGCTCAGGTTGCGAACGTGATCCATGTGGGATGCACGTTCGCAACCAGCAGCAGCGCATCTGTGCATGCGCAGGTTGCGATTCGGCGCTTCTGTGCATGCACAAAGCGCTAGTCAGCATTCTGCGCATGTGCGACCCCCAAAACCTGGAAGTAACCCGTTCCAGTACTTCCGGGTTTCAGCAGGTTCGTAACCTAAAAAAACACAACCTGAAGCGTCTGTAACCCAAGGTATGACTGTGTATACACATACACACACACACACACACACACACACACACACACACACACACATAGCTTCCAGATGACAGCAGCCATGAAATTAAAAGACGCCTGCTTCTTGGGAGAAAAGCAATGGCAACCCTAGACAGCATCTTAAAAAGCAGAGACATCACCTTGCCAACAAAGGTCCGTATAGTTAAAGCTATGGTTTTCCCAGTAGTGATGTATGGAAGTGAGAGCTGGACCATAAAGAAGGCTGACTGCCAAAAAATTTATGCTTTTGAATTATGGTGCTGGAAGAGACTCTTGAGAGTCCCATGGACTGCAAGAAGATCAAACCTATCCATTCTTAAGGAAATCAACCCTGAGTGCTCACTGGAAGGACAGATCCTGAAGCTGAGACTCCAATACTTTGGCCACCTCATGAGAAGAGAAGACTCCCTGGAAGAGACCCTGATGTTGGGAAAGATGGAGGGCACAAGGAGAAGGGGACGACAGAGGACGAGATGGTTGGACAGTGTTCTCGAAGCTACTAAAATGAGTTTGACCAAACTGCGGGAGGCAGTGGAAGACAGGAGGGCCTGGCGTGCTCTGGTCCAGGGGGTCATGAAGAGTCGGACACGACTAAACGACAACAGCTTCCAGATCATGCCAAACAGGTGGTCTGTCTGGTAGCTCGATGCTAGCTGGAGAATCTGACAAAGGTGTTTGTCTGCTGGGATAACTCAGCCAAGAGAGCATGAGGCTCTTAATCTCAGAGTTGTGGGTTCGAGCCGTACAAAGGATTTCTGCAGTGCAGGGGATTGAAGCAGACTCCAACTCTACAGTTCTATGATTCTATTATCTTTGTGCCATTTTGCTTTGCATAGCACAGGAGGTTGGGTCCCTGCCCCACGGAGCTTGAAATCTATAGTTCAGCACATGGGAGGGTGTCGCTGAGTTGTAGAGCTGGGGGGGGCAGACCAATAGGGTCATCTAGACCCACAGGAATTGCAGGTAAGAGGGAAGAAGTGGAGACAGGCGAAAGACGTGGGAAACATAGCATGGCGGCGCCCATCCTTTGGAATTCACGTTCTCTTTCCAGCACCTATGGAAGACCTACCTGCCCTGACAAGCCTTTGAAGTGGGAATCTTTACCCCGCTCTGCATTTGCATTGGGTTGGAAAACGGGTTTTATATACAGAATTGTTTCACGTATGTTTCTGTCACCGGTGCTTCTGCTGTTAAAGGGCTTAGCGGTGTTTCGACGGGAAGCAAATCCGCAAACGGAAGCGATCAATAGATACAGTGGTACCTCGGGTTAAGTACTTAATTCGTTCCAGAGGTCTGTACTTAACCTGAAACTGTTCTTAACCTGAAGCACCACTTTAGCTAATGGGGCCTCCTGCTGCTGCCGTGCTGCCAGAGCACGATTTCTGTTCTCATCCTGAAGCAAAGTTCTTAACCTGAAGCACTATTTCTGGGTTAGTGGAATCTGTAACCTGAAGCGTATGTAACCTGAAGCGTATGTAACCCGAGGTACCACTGTATATTTATCGATAGCAGGGGTCAGCAAACTTTTTCAGCAGGGGGCCGGTCCACTGTCCCTCAGACCTTGTGGGGGGCCGGACAATATTTTTTTTGGGGGGGGGGGAATGAACGAATTCCTATGCCCCACAAATAACCCAGAGATGCATTTTAAATAAAAGGACATATTCTACTCATGTAAAAACACGCTGATTCCTGGACCGTCCGTGGGCTGGATTGAGAAGGCGATTGGGCCGGATTCGGCCCCTGTGCCTTAGTTTGCCTACCCATGATCCATAGCAAATCCTCGCTTAGCCGTGAAGCTCACCTGGGTGCGACTTGGGGCCTGCCGCTCCCTCTCTCACCTTGCCTACCTCGCAAGGTTGTTGTGAGGATGAGATGGGGGAGGACAGAGTACTTCAGCCACCTTGCACTCCTTGGAGGGGCATAAGCTGAACAAACAAATGAGGTCATGAATGCGAACCTACGCTTGTTTTTACATGTGCTTCTCTTTTCCTCTCTTCCTCCTGCAGTGGACTGCATGGACCCCACCTGCTCCGGGCGTGGCGTGTGTGTGAGAGGAGAATGCCACTGCTCCGTTGGATGGGGAGGGACCAACTGCGAGACCCCCAGAGCAACCTGCCTGGACCAGTGCTCCGGCCATGGCACGTTCGTGCCCGAAACCGGCCTGTGCAGCTGTGATCCCAGCTGGACTGGACACGACTGCGCCATTGGTAATTGCACCTGCAGCTTTCCCCCCATTTATTTATTTCAACAGTGTATGGTGGTGTTAGGGGAAGGATGGGGTGGGGGACACGTCTGGCTCCTTCTGGGGTCGTTTGGCTGTCAAATGTTTAGGGGGCAAAAGGTTATGACCTCCTTTTTACTCCTTTGCCTAGTCCTCAGACCTTAGTTGGCACAAAGAGTCCTTAAGAAAGAGTACTTTGCAGAATGCTGCTTTTATTCTTAAAAAAAGTCGTCTTCTCCAACCACGACCGGCAGCTTTTACACACACCAAATTCAACCAGCTTTCTACCGTCCAAGCAACCCAACACTAACATTGACCACTCAATGATAGCCAGTGTGGTGTAGTGGTTAAGAGCGGTGGACTCGTAATCTGGTGAACCGGGTTTGCTTCCCCGCTCCTCCACATGCAGCTGCTGGGTGACCTTGGGCCAGTCACACTTCTCTGAAGTCTCTCAGCCTCACTCACCTCACAGAGTGGTTGTTGTGGGGGAGGAAGGGAAAGGAGAATGTTAGCCGCTTTGAGACTCCTTCGGGTAGTGATAAAGCGGGATATCAAATCCAAACTCCTGCTCCTCCTCCACTCTATATATACAGGTACTATTTGGTGAAAGGCTGCATGAGTCATTGTAGGCCACTGACTCATTCTGACTTAGTTATTTTAGCATTAAAGAAACAGCGGCCAAATTTACCCGTGACATTGCCCACCGTTGGTCCCCAGCTTGCGCTCCGATCTCACCTGTGGCTCCTAGAAGCTGCCAGCCTGTGACAGCAGCCACACTCTGAGATACGGCTCTGACTGGCCGGCTAAACCAGGTGAAGGTAGCCAGTGGGGCTCAAACCCTCGGTGAGTTAGGGATTTTCCCTGCATGCGAAGACAGGCTCTGATGGATTGAGCGGATGAGACCAAGAGTGGGTCCAATGGTCAAGAAGGCGGTTTCTGCACATGCCGTAAAGCAGCCTTTCTCAACCTGTGGTTCCCCAGATGTTGTTGAACTACAACTCCCATCACCTCTAGCTAGCAAGGCCAGAGCTCAGGGATGATGGGAGTTGTAGTCCAAAAACGTCTGAGGACCCACAGGTTGAGAACCGCTGCTGTAGAGGGACGTGAGGGGCAGATGGGGCTCATCCATCTGGGAAGG